CCCCCCCTTAAGTTTTGAACTAAAATGATTTACTATGTGTGTTTGAGATGTGCACCAGCCCTCTTCCTTCACGCTGGACGTAGGTTTTATCCTGGACACCCTGCGTGGCAGAGGGCGGGTGGGCTGCTGCGCCGGGCGCTGGAGGAGAGGATGAACAAAGGTGTTTATAAACCCCACAGGCAGCAGGGAACTCCTCTCTGGGCTTGCTTTCACCCATACGGACTAAACCACTTCTCATTTCTTTGCTGCTGTTTTGTTTCTAGGGCGTCAGGAACTGTTTATACAGCAATTGACATCGCCACAGGACAGGAGGTGAGTGCCAGCGGTCCCAGCAGATTTTGCAGGTATTCTGTGCTCTGCTGCCAGCTGTGGCTGGGGCTTGTGGGTCACCAGGAGATCTTTACTGCAAAGGCTGTTCCTCTGAAACATAGCCTAGTGTCAGCCTGCAGAATCCATTTCTGCTAAGGCTGTTCCTCCTAAGCACGGGCTGGTGTCAGCTGGGAAACACATCATCCGCTGTCCTCAGCGTTGCAGTGAAAGCTCCTGGAGGGCAGGTTCTGTGCCTCAGAACCTGAACACTCACTGTGGCCATCCAGCAGCCATCACACCCAGGTGCTGATGAATGCCTGAAGAGGTGCCTGTGAATTCCTGGGGGCAGGTCCTGGTCCCCCTGGAGTCAGTAGGAGCCCTGGTGCTCTCTGCGCTTGGGCTGATGCTTCGCCCGTAGCTTTTAAGGCCAACTGTAAGAGAATGACTTTTTACTTTCTCTGTTTTCAGACCAGGTCAGTGGTGTTGGTCCCAGCCTGGCACCAGTTTCATCATCCCTGGATGGGTATTTTAATAGAGAGAAATCTATACAGAAATCCCAGCAAGCTTTTGGGCCTGATAAAAACTGTAACATTTTTATTGCCGGTGTAAATGTATTGGTTTAGAAATCGTTATTTCTCTGCTCCCCAGCGTGCATGAAGCTGTGCTGTTACGGAGAATGTTGGCCTATATGTACAGCTTACCTCTGTACATTTACAGCATGAAGTCAGCCTGTGGACCTGGCCATAGAGGAGTTAGCAATACAAATTGTAAAATCTAAAGATCTGTCATAATGAGGGGCCTCGGGAGAACCCTAGGGCTGGGCACAGGTTCTCCTGTTGCTGTGAGGAATAAATAGCTTCGTTACATTGCTTAATTTTGGACAGACTTCGTCCTCATTAACTACCAGGAAGAATGCAAGGAGGGAAGTGGTGTATCTCAGGAGGACACACTGAGAAGATGTGCATCAAGAGCAAAGATCTCTCCTAAACAATAGAGTCCAGGTCAGGTCTGGTGTCGGTGACAGCCCATTACAGCCTGAGAACTGGTCACAGGGAAGTGGGAGCCAGCGGGAGGGACACAAATCTCGAAGGAAAGCCCGGGCAAAAAGCTCGAGTGGAGACCGCAGCTGCCTGGGGGAAGATGGGACTGGGCAGAGGAACCAGGATGAAGCCGATGGCTGCAATGGTTCAGAGCAAAAGTGATCGTATGAGTAATGAACAGACAAGGTGGTGTCTTAGAGAATCCCTTTGCTCTTTAGGGCTACAGCTTAAGATTTCTGATTTACCATTTCTGGCTGTCAGCAAATCCATCTGAATCTTACTGGTAGTTTCTCATCCACCTGCAGTGCTGCACTTTATAACTGCTCTTAGAGAGGTAGCCCTGCTTATAACCCTGGGTGTATCCATAGAATACCAGAGAGTGGATTATTTTGTAAACACAGAAAATAATTGCAAATCTAAACTGTGTTAAAGAATGTTATTTGGAGTTGCAAAATTCAAGAAGTTAGGAAGTGCTAGGATTGGGGGTTTTTCTGTAATGTTAATGATATTTTTAGTACAGCATTTTATACATAATGTACATGTGTTGTGTCGGTTATGCAGTCAAGTCAAGAATAACAACAATTGCTGAAATAATGATCAAAAATCATATAATTGCTAAAGTATTACCGGCTGGTTTTATATATTTTCACAGTAACAGAATCACTTCCCGCTTGCAAAGTGTAAATGAATAATAATAGTGGTAATAAACTAAGGCCATCTGAGAAGAACATAGGTCCAGAGGGTGTTGTCAGAGATTTGTGGTTGATAGTTTAAGACCATTTTTACAGATTTTACAAGGCAAAATGCATACGACCGTTAGTCCTGTAACTAGCACTCAAGCTAGCAGAGAAGTAGGGAGCTGGAGTGGGAGTTCCTGAGCTCGTACGTCTGATAACAGGAGAGTTTGGCACAGCTCTGCTGCATCAGTCCGAAACCACTCCGCGTTCGTTCTGACCTCGTGCAGCAGGCTACTTAATGGTTTTCAATGTCGTTTTAGGTGGCCATAAAGCAAATGAATCTCCAACAACAGCCCAAAAAGGAACTAATTATTAATGAAATCCTGGTCATGAGGGAAAATAAGAACCCCAATATTGTTAACTATTTAGACAGGTGAGTAGTTCTGGTATTATCACATGAATGTTCATTTACACGAACATTTACATTTCTTGTTCATTTACATTTACTGCAAGCCAAAGATTAAAAAGCCCTTTGGTCACTGGCAGAAAATGGACCTCTATTATTTATCTACTCACATACAATGTATGGGAGGAGATTGCATTGTCTACATCGATCTTTTCTGGCATATGTAGTTTGAAAACTGTTTTCAAAGATCTGGATCAGCCATATCTTACTAAAACAACAGCCTGTAAGTTCACTGCCTCCTTGTTTTGTTGTTGCTTTGGGTTTTTTTGAGTTGATCATATTTTCTGTGTCTTATGATAAGTGCTGATAAATCATCAGAGAAATTATTTCTCTTGGGCTGTTCCTGCTATTTTCCATTGCTGGGGATGCCAGGAAGACTAGGTTCTTGTTTCCAGAAACAGATAATTTGCCAGTTTTTAAGTTGTTTTTCCTGTTTCTGAATGTATTTTATGTAAGGTTTTTCAAACTGTTGACCAATTTCTGGCCTCAGTGATACACACTCTCCTGCCATGGACAGCTATGAAAGCTGTGTTGCATTGTTCCTGGAGTTAATAATGGAGTTTATGTGTGAAGATGATGAACCAGATGATGTGATATGTCCCGATTCAAGATTTATCTTCGCCGTTACTAAACTGCATTTTTCATTTGCTTGCCATCTAAGACGTCTAATTTTTCATTTATTTGCCTTTCTCATTTAGACTGCAGATTCTAAGTACTGTACAGCCTAGAAGGAATGTCTGTTCATTTTATTCTGTCTTCATTTTAAAATGACCTGGAAACAAAAATCAGCCGTAATCTCTTTCATTAGGCAATTCAGCTATGCACGTTCATCTCCGTGCCATTGTTTTCTTTCAGCTACCTAGTCGGTGATGAGCTCTGGGTGGTGATGGAATACTTGGCTGGAGGCTCGTTAACCGACGTCGTTACAGAGACGTGTATGGATGAAGGACAGATAGCGGCTGTCTGTAGGGAGGTAAGGGATCCCCCCAGGCTTCTGATCACTTGGACAGGATGGTACTGCTCAACAGGTGGTAAGAACATGAGCGATTTCACGTTCAGAACTTTGTTTCTGTGTTGCTTTTATAATATGGAGAAGAGAGAGCACTTATTATGGTCTGTTATTATACTCTTACATACTGTTATTGTACTATATCCCTTTTTTTCTTTTTTTTTTAAGTTTTACTATTCTCAATTTTGCCTCTTTAAACATTTGCCTGGAGCACTTCTGTGCTGCATTCCTTGCCTGTAAAAGCAAACATGCTGGTGTCAGAATTTTAAAATAACAGCAAAAAAAAATACAGACTCATTTATCACAGTCCTCGGCTTAAAAGGATAGCATTCCACCCAAAATGGTGTTTGCTGCTGAAAAATGACTAATGTGCTATTTCCAAATCTGCTGTAGAGCCTAACAATAAAATCTTTGTCATGCAGCCTCCCACCCAAAAGTGATCCACTTCATACCAAAGGAAGGGACTTTTGCTTTTTTGGCAAACAATAGTTTGTCGTATGGATGGAGGCAGCACACTCGTTGCAGCTGTAGTCATTCTGTCCGTGCTTTCAGGGGATAGTCTGTAACAATAGTTGACATTTCTCTTTCAAAAGCTAATACGCCTTCATTTAGAAAGTTATTACTCTAATAGCGTTGAAGCAGCAAGCTGTTCCTCTTGACAGCACAATATTCTGCCATTATTGACAATTCATCTAGAAATTAAATCTTTTAGAGCCATTTCCTTTCTTGTGCGATGAAATCAGGCCATTAATTTTTACCCTCATGTTTCTTTTTTATCTATCAGTGCCTGCAAGCACTGGATTTCCTTCATTCAAACCAAGTGATTCACAGAGACATCAAAAGCGACAATATTCTTCTCGGAATGGACGGATCTGTCAAATTGAGTAGGTATTCGCGGTCAGGCGCAGCGTTCCCAGGACGTGCTGTGGGGCTGCTGTTGGCTGAGAGCCACTTACCCAGAAGCGATGCCAGTGGCAGCGCACTGACCACTGCTGCCAGCTCAGAGCACAGTTCCAACGTGCAGAGAGGTATAGAAAGGAAAACGGTGTAAAGAGTGCCTTTGGTTTGTTTATGTCCCTTCCAGAGGGAGGGACTTACAGTCTAAAGCTTCCAGGGAATAAAAGCCACTCTGTGAAACTGGAGGGGTTTTTGAAGTGGCCAATTCAGTATTTCCTTGGCTGCAGCACTGGGTACCCAGAGCGCAGCCGCTTTGCCAGCTAGACTCCACAGTGCGTTCTCAGGCATATGGTGGGGATTTCTTGTGCTTGGTTTAATAATTTAAGCCAGCTTTAACAATACTTGTTTTTTTCTCCTCAGCTGATTTTGGCTTCTGTGCTCAGATCACCCCTGAGCAGAGTAAACGGAGCACAATGGTCGGGACTCCTTACTGGATGGCTCCAGAAGTGGTGACAAGGAAAGCGTACGGCCCCAAGGTGGACATCTGGTCACTTGGGATCATGGCAATAGAAATGGTGGAAGGAGAACCTCCTTACCTTAATGAAAATCCTCTCAGGGTAAGGTGCCAATAAAATCTTTCTAATCTGTCCCATGTTCTGTCTCCCATGAGACGAAGTCCCAGTCACATCAGCTTGAACTGGTTCCACCAAGGCCCACTTCTGCCAATGTCACTGGAGCGTATCAGTGTATACTGGAGCTTTGGTACATCAGTGGGAGAACCTCGGAAGCGAAGTGACATGTAGCCAGTTCAGAAATGGGCCATTTTTTGCCTTCAACGATGCTTGAAATTTCTCAGGTAGTTTCTGAACTCTCTTTGAGCTCTATCTCTGAATGACAAGAAATTTTCAGCAGCAAGTTTCTCCAGTTGGGGAATTTTTATAAGAAGTATTTCAACGGTATCTGCAGGCAGAGCTGTCTTCTCCAACTCAGATCAGTGCTGATCGATGACTTGAGCCTGTCAGGAAGTGTCACTGATTATACTAATGCCATAATTATTTATTACCAAGTACATGTCTATCACAGGTACTTGTAGTCAGATGATGTATTTTTAATGTTTTGAAGTTTTCCGTTTTATCTTAATTCCTTAAAATGAAATGACCAGTTCTTACACCGAATGAGTGTGTAATGGTGGAGGAATGTATCACCTCAAACGTTGATTAGGGCTCCTCGAGAAGCCTCAGGTCAACTGTTAGAAAGATAACTGAATTTCTGTCTCTGACCAAATTCCCATTCATCTATTCCTGCCCTTACCCAGATTAGTTGAGATGCTCTTTTTCTCCATACGTGCCTCATAAAAATAAGATCAACTTGAACACTCAGAGCTTTGAGGCATCTTCAGGTGTCTGAGTACAATTGCAGCAGATTAAAATCAGGCATCTGAAAGTGGTACCATCTGTATGAGCTTCCTGGACTCTTTGCAGAGATTGTTGCCCCTGAGCTGGGAACAATGAACAGCTTGTGATGGACTGCCTGAAGTTCCCCAGTTATCAGCTGGTTTTATTAAGGTAAATCAACCCCAACAGGGACAAGATCCATCTGCTGCTGTATGTGGAATCAGAGACTTGAGCCTCAGCTGCAGCCAAACAGCAGAGCTCATAAACAAGACCGGGTTTTACACCAGTAGCTGTTGGGTTTAATAGTCACGTTTAGACCACATTCAGGGAATTCTGCAAAGCCTGGAAACAAAAGGGTGCTCTTTAATTTTTACGAATGACAATGGAAGGCACGCAGGAGCTTCAGTTACTGACACTAATTCAAATACATAAATATATTATAAGGGCATCAAAGTATCATAGAGTTAATGGCAGTCTTAGTGTAGATGCATTTGTTGTTTTCCACATGTACAGCAAACACATCCCATGTTGCTCCGGTTTGTTCCAGCCTATGCAGAACCCACAGGAATTAACCATTTTCCAGCCTTGAGTTTCCTGGCTATTTCTGTGATGGCATTTGTTTTCTCTCTCTGTGATTTCCTCCCATCAGGCATATGCCTAGGGCCTGACAGACAAACACTGGTGCAATAAACATCCCTTGAAGCGCAGGTTGGACCTCCCCATTTTCAATTAAAAAAACAAAACCAACCCAAACCCTAAGCATTTCTGTTTGCTTTTTTATTTATTAACCACAGCACATCCATTTTCCTCAGAACTGTAGCATATTTTCCAAATGCTGTGGATCTTCTACAGTTTTAGCCTTCTAAATCCTCTGTATGTTGTTCTGTCCTGTATCTGGGTGGCCTGGATAACTCCAGGATATCGTTTTCACAGACGGCAGCTATAATCGTATGCTGAATCCTTTCTCGTTTCTTGGTACGTTAAGCAGATTGATGACCTTATTGCCCCTTCGCAGCAACTGCAAACGCTCATTCCTTTGTACTGTGCTTGTTTTCCTTTGCTGGCTGTATCATAGGCAACCAAAAGATACATGACAAGAAGGTACTTCAGCTTCCATAGACCTTTTCTGTTGTAGAAATATTCCAAAGGTGCAGTACCTAGCTGAAGATAACCCTTCCTCATCATTCATGTTCTGTAAAGAAACAAGCAACTAGAAGAGCTCCATTTGTCCCGGCACTCCTGTTTCCCAGTCAGGTGAATGCAGCTGGAATAAACTTCCCAAGGTTGACATCGGTGCTGTATTCCTTTACCGCAGGAGAAGTAGCATCCCTCGGGTAGCAGAATTTAATCACGGTGAGGACGGGCACTCCATCTCTCCGCTGTGCCCACTGCCTGAGCCCAGCTGCAGATGGACAGGATAAGATGGATTTTGTGACATTTATGTTGTGGGAAAAGTAAAGAAACTTCCTTTTATTGTTTTTACTCTAGGATAGTTCATTTGCCTTTTTAGGCTTGGAAATTTTCCTCTGTATTTAAGAGGATAATAACAAAGTCAGCCTGGTCACGGTCTATTTAAGTGCCAGTAGTGCAGAGCTGCTATTACCAGGGCAGACATTTTTATGGAGGACTCCAAGGCCTATTTCTGTTGTTATTACTGTATATTTTAGACATATTCTGTGAGTTTAAGTTTGAATAGTTCAAAATGTTTGTCTTATGTTTCTAAATAACATCTTGCAAAAGCAGCACGAGCTCATCTCTCCAGCTTCTCGGCATGTCAGACCTTGGTTACACGTGAGCCACGCTGGATAACGCTCACCCTGGGCTGTGCAGAATTACAATTCCTTGCCCTGAGGAATAGCAGGAAGACTTGCTAAGCTGCGTAAACACTGTCAGCTGCATGGAGGTGGGCATCCTTGGCTTCAGTTTGCTGAACTTAAGCTTAGCTTAGGCCAGATGCTGTTGAGGAGGAGAAGGGCTGGAATGTTCAAGGAGGGTAGGCTGGTGTGCACGGACTGACCGTGCGTGCAGAGGAGCAGCTGGATGTTTGTGCCCATCGTGGAAGGGAATTCCCAGAGGACACAACCCTTAACACCAGCAAATACTCCCAGTTCTCAGGTAACACTCTGCTTTGGGTTGTTGCTTCTCTTCTGTCTGTGAGGATGATCCTGCAAACAGAAAACAGGTTTAATAGATTTAATGTCACCTTTCTTAGAAAAGTGTTGGGGTTTTTTTTGGTTTTTTTGTTGGTTTTTTTTTAAAAAAAACAGTGATTTGGAGAGATAAACTACCCTCCAATTTTTCTCCCTGGGAATCTTGCCTGAAACATGAAGACTGTAGTTTAAAGGCAACATAGTCTATTCTGCTTCGTGTCCATTTTTGGTGAAATACTTAGTGAATCTATTTCTTTCATAGTCCAAACCACTTTCTCCATGTCGCCAAGCTTGAGCTTTCAATAACCCAACTGCCAAAACCTCCCATTCCTTCCCTGGCAATTTCTGGGATGGGGACACCATTAATGTTTTCACTTGAGTCTCTGAATTAGCACAGCGTTACCATAGGGATGGAATTGCTCATTTTTCTGATTAGACTATTAAAAGTTTTTCTTTTACCATATAAGTGAAACTGATCTGGAATTCGGAGGCTGCTGAAAGGTGTGGTTGCAGGTGGCTCCTGTCTGCCCAGTTATGCATTTTCTTCATAATATATTTGTGCCTGCAACTTCTGTGTTTGTGTTGAAAATGAAGTTCCAAATGTTTCTGTTTCTTTATCCAAGGAATAAGATGATGGATTTACTTTTTTTTTTAATGCAGTTATCATTTTTATCAAGAACAGAGCAAAAAATTTGACTATGTTTGTTTTATGGGAGCTGTACTTTAGGGATCAGTGAGCACTGAAGAGATGCATTTTATGTAATAACCCTTTAAATATTACAGTTAGCCCAAATTCACTCTTTAAAATAGTCTGTAAAGCTCGTGTCAATACTTGGAGAAGCAAAATGTGCTTTTGCTGATGTAGTTCATACTAACTAGGTCAGCCAATGAAATCAGCTGTCAAGGCAAGATCATTTTGATGTTGGAATAGCTGTGGCTGCATCAGGGTTGTTTTGTTGTTGTTGTTGATATAGAAAAATCATCTCTAACCCTCTGCCAGGGAAGAAACTGCCACCGGAAACTGCACCTGAAGAGACTGGGTCTGTAAGAGCAGTTATGGATATGAAAGAAATGGAGTCTCCTCTTTCCTTTTTCTCTAGGCGCTGTATCTGATAGCTACGAACGGGACACCAGAGCTGCAGAACCCCGAGCGACTGTCCGCTGTGTTTCGCGACTTCCTGAACTGCTGCCTGGAGATGGACGTGGACAGGCGAGGGTCTGCCAAGGAACTTCTGCAGGTAAAATGTGAAACAGCTGTACTAGGTAACGGCTTTCTCATCAGCTAAACAGGAAGGCATCAGACAGAAACCCCTCCTATTAGTCTTCAGTCTTGTTGCTTTTCAAATGAAAAGTAAGTAGAATCATGGAATGGTTTGGGTTAGAAGGTTCCTTTAAAGGTCATCTAGTCCAGCCCCCCTGCAGTGCACAGGGACATCTTCAACTCAATCAGGTTGCTCAAAGCCCCGTCCAACCTGGCCTTGAATATTTCCAGGGATAGGAAACATGTCCCATTGCAACAGGCACTACCCCCATCTTTCTTATAAGCCCCCTTTAAGTCTTGAAAGGCCACAATAAGGTCTCCCCGGAGCCTTCTCTTCTCCAGGCTGGACAACCCCAACTCTCAGCCTGTCCTAATGGAAGTGTTCCATCCCTCTGATCATTTTTGTGGCCCTATTTTGTATTTTGGTCGTATATTCAGTTTTACATGGCAGCAAAATAACTGAACTGGAACGATACCAGGTATGGAGGAACCCGATGAAGTTGGTCACAGCCAAGCAGTCCGAGATGGGGCTGTGGGAAGGGAGGGGCTGTGCGATGCTCACTGTGAGCATCAGAGGGGCCCCAGCTTGCCCATCCTGCCCCACTCTTAGAGGCTTCTGCCACTGAAACAGGGACAGCAGAGCGAGACTTGTCACAGCTCCGTTTGCTGCCTGGCACAGTCGCGTAGCTGAGAACTGTCACAGGTTTGCTGCGGGGTTTTGTGGCAGATAGGGAGTTGCAGCACGTGCCACTCGGCTGTCTGTCCCTGCTGTGAAGGTGCCAGCCAGCACAGGAGGGGCAGGGGATGGGGCAGCAGGCGCTGCTCTCGCTGCAGCCCAGAGCTGAGTCGTCTATGTCTTTAGAAAACAGGAACCTAAGAAAGTATTTCGAGCTTCCTGAAAGGACCAAGGCCCTGGGACAGCAAGCCACATTCCCAGAGTGCTGGCAGGGCAAAAATCCCAGCAAGCTGAAGACACGTTGATAAATGGATTAATAGGATTATGGGCCATGTTTGCCCGCGATAGCAAGGTACTGGACGTGAAGACGCAGGTGCAGATGGCCCCTCGGTCGTGTTTCTGGTATCCAGGAGAATACTGCTTGAGCCTTTGAGTAACCAAGTTTGGAAAGTAATGGTTCATTTCTTTTTTTCCTTTGAGCAGCATCCATTTTTAAAATTAGCCAAGCCTCTCTCCAGCCTGACTCCTCTGATCATTGCAGCAAAGGAAGCGATTAAGAACAGCAGCCGCTAGCACTTCAGGCCGGCTTTCTCCCATGCCAGCTCAGAGCAGGACTGAGAACAAAAACTCTATAAAACCTCAACTCTTGTGCTGCAGGACAGATGGACGGATGAACAAACCAACGGTCACAGTCATGGTGGTAGGAGGGAGAACAACCCAGTCCCTCAAGGAGTAAAAAGGTTATCGTTTGTCTTCTCCCTGCTTTCTGGCTCCTTAATTTATTTTTAAGATGAAACAGGGCTTAAGACAGAGGTAATGACCGAAAATGCTTTGCTGCCTCAGCCATTTCCAAGGTAAAGCAAATTAAGTTGGAAGATTCCCTTCTTTCTCACCCTGTGAATAAGCTGTACATTCACTTTTAAATTGTCAGTTGTTTCTTAAAGACGGAAAGTCCCTGTTATGGTTTTTTTTTTTGGTATGGTTTGGAATTGGAGAAGGGTCTCCTTTACTTGTCAACCCCAGACTGCACTGCCTTTTGAATACAGCCCACTCACTGGTACTTGTGCAGTCACGGTACTTCTAGATGAGGAAGAAAGTGAAATTGCATTTCCAACCAAAAATGAATCAAGAAGGGGGGCAGACAGAACATCCTGTTGAGATACAGGCTTTCAACTGTGAATAGATGCTGTTTCGGTTCTTGACAATTTGATTTGTATAACTAATTGTAATCTGTTTGTGTGGATGAGAGTCTTACTGCAATGAAAAAGCAGAAAGATCAGTCGGTACGCTCAGTAAGAGCTCATCTGATGCAAAGCTGTGAGAGAAATGTGAGACAAGAGCAGGCCCAGCCTTGCCTGGCACTGAGCCCCCACAGACCCCATGCAGAGCACAGAGCAGCCTCGGCATCCGCAGACCCAGGCTGGAGGAGGGTGCTTGTAGCAGCAAGCGGTAGCAGACCGGCACTGGGTGCTTGCCTCTTCCTGGGACCGGACTAATCATCCTGTAGGAGAGCCAAATGGGCAGCGGGCTGCTCCCGCGGTGAATTTTAGCCGTGCCGTGAAATGTGCAGACGGGTGGGATTTGCCACCTTGAGCCTGTGCAGGAGCAGAGAAGGGCAAAACTGAGCTGAGTGGTGGTGTCACTAGTGAGGACGCCTGCTCTCCTTGTCGTCTCGTAGCTCCTGGGGAAGGTTGGTAGCATCTGCAGCACTCACGGCAGAGCGGGAGGGAGCCGGGCTGTCCTTTGGGCACGCGAGTTCTGCCGTGAAACTGAGGTCGGTGACTGACAGCTTCCGCAGTTTAGATACACGAGCCAGCGCGGCAGACAGCTCTGGAGGAAAGTGCATTAAAACCTGGAGTTCCGCACTGAGCGAGAGCAAATGCGTGAAATGGAGAGTGGATTGCAAAAAAAATGTAGAGGCATCAAGCCAGCCTGCTTTCTGCTGTCCTGCGTACAGCAAGCACTGCTGAATGCAGCTGGGGGTTGCTGGGAGAGAGGGAATCCGGGGTGGGACAGGACTGTGTGACTCGTCAGCTGGTTTGTAAGGGAGCAGAATAGTTTCAGTATGCGATTTGCGGTTTATTCATTTATTTCCGGAAGAAAGACGCAATGTGTCTTCACTCAGAAGAAGCATTTGCACAGAGTATTTGTTGCTGTATTTCAGTAGCGCAACTGAAGGACTTTCAAAGAGCAACTGAAGCAACACCTACCCTGTGATCAGAAAAAAAAAAAAAAAGTAAAACAGCGTCCTGCTGTAGAGCTTCACGGTTAGGCCTGGTCCTGCAAAATACCACCTGGCCTTTAAGGTACCAACCTCCTCCGTGCTTTCCCAGTGGAATGCAGGATGCTTGGGCTGTTCCTGAATTAGGCCATGAGCTGCTTTGGCTTCTTACTTAGCTCCAGTCATTGTGTGCAACTGTCATTAACGCTGCCAGCTAACCCGCCCTCGCTCTGTCTGTCCCTGTGGTGGAGGCAGCGCTCCCTGAGGGAACTCACCTTCCCTCATCTCCTGGGGAGCGCAGCGGCTCTCGTTTCCACACCCAAATACCATGCCGAGCAAGTAGCTGTGGTGCCAGCATGATTCGTGGTGCACAGGGGGGTTTCCTGAACCACAGGGGGGTTTGCTGGACTGGAGGAACCTCGGGGGGAGCCAGGAGAGCGCCTCGAGCTCGCAG